GCTGTGAGTCCTACCATAGAAATATAATTTAAACTATTACTGGGGGTCAGTGCTGTTATTCCACTTTACACACAGGGCTTTGCTTCTAAGTCTTTGCAATGCCCTCATTATGGATTAAGAAGTTTTGAATTTCTATAAAGAAGAAACGTGCAAATTTATGCCTCACAAATTTAATACCACAATTTTATTATTTTATATTTGTATATTTGTATGTTTCTTTTTTACAGTTATTATTTTTATATTTTCCTCACACATTTATTATTTATTATTTATTATTTATTATTTATTATTTATTATTTATTATTTATTATTTATTATTTGTTATTTATTATTTGTTATTTATTTAGCTTTCCCTTCAAACCAAATTGTAATAAATTTCCAGTTTGCATTTCTCAAATTATCGATTAAATGCCTCATGAACACGAATCAGGACCACTTCTGGGACCATCATTTAAACTGTAAAATTTAATTCAAGCCAAAATTTCCTTTATATATATAGGAAAAAAAGAGTGTTTCTCTATAAGCTCAATTTTTAAGTCTCAAATTTAATTTCCATATTTAATTTCAATACCATTGTGTTGATTGTGGGAATTGAAGCCCATTGCTCCCTCTGGAGCCCCAGTTATCCCCAGTGCATTCCAGGTGCCTCTTGCTTCTGTTTCCCAGGAAAATGGGGTGTGAGGCCCCACAAAGTGATTTCTTTTAGTCAATAAATGTGAATACACAGCAATGGTTTCACTCTCTGTCTGCAGCTCTGGAAAGGAGCTGTCCCAGCTGGGGACATCTGTGCTGTCACTTGTCAGGACAGTGACTTCACAGCTGGCACAACCAGGGGTCAGGTGGCTCAAGGTCAGTGAGACTCGTGGCTGAGCAGGAGCTGCAGCTCCCTCTGCAAGCAGAGCACATTTCACCTTGGACAAAATCCCCAGAAATTCAGAATTCCAGAGGTGACAGCACAAATCCCACTGAAAAAATCCACAGTCCTGCCTCACTTTTTCCCCATAATCCCTTACACAAACTGAGAGATCACAGCTTTTTAACAAATCCGTGCCTGATGGCCTCGTGTTTCATGTTTTTCTCACTCTTTTGGGCCACAGATCTACCCTGGAGCCTCTCTTGGAGAAGAGAATATCCACATCTTCCAGGAATGAGGAGCTGCCCGTGAAAGATGATGGTGACAACAGGATTAGCAAAGTCAAGAGGAAGGAGTGGAGCATTAGCAAGTCTCAGGTTATCGTGGAGAAGGAGCCACAAACAGAACTGACTTCCAAAATGGTAAAAAAAAAAATAAAAAAAAAATCATAATAATGGCAGCAAGAATAAAAGCCACAGCAGGAGCTGAAGTGTTTCCATTGCTCTCAGCCATGCTGGGCAGGGGGAATTTCATTAAACGCTGGGAGGGGCTCAAATACCAAAAAGCCTCGATCATCTGAGTAATTCTCGTTTTTTTTAATTTGGAAAATTCGTGTCACGGGCCCAACTGCAGCTTGGCTGGAGGTGCAGGCTGGGAGCAGGAGGCACTGGTGGCTCAGGGAGGTGCAGAGCCCTGGGGTGCTCTCAGCACCAGGGAAATCCCTGCTTTTGTTGGAGCAAGGAGCCCCTGCTCAGCCAGGCGGGGATCCAGCTGCCCAGCCAGATGTTGAGCAGCTGTCAGGCAGCACAAACCAAATGTCCTGTGAGGTTCAGAGCCCTTGGATGGGTCAGGGCTGTGCTCTGCTCCAGCCCCTGTGAGGGCAGGGTGATCATTCCTGGAGGAATGAACCAAAATCTGCATCCCCAGAGGAGGCTGGGCTGAGGAACAGACTGGAGGTTGTTTGGGTTTTAAGGCTCACAGTGGGGGATGAGTTTCAGCCCATGGGTAGAGCTGTATGACC